ATGGGGACAAAAGACTCCCTGTTTCCCTTGTGGTCCCAACACGACACAAGCGGGTCATTCCATTAATCCCCTTACTTGTAGGGTTAGAAATTACTATTGCACTCAGCACACGCCTTACCACTTTAATTGGCACCTTCCGTAGCCTCTCTAATGATTTCTCTGCTAGCATTGGAAAATTAACTCAATCATTATCCCTTCTTTGAGCTCAAGTAAATTCCCTAGCTGCAGTTGTCCTCTAAAACTGCAAAGGTCTTAATTTACTAACTGCTAAAAAGGGTTTTTGCCTATTCCTAAATAAAGAATGTTTTTATGTAAACCAGCCTGGCCTTGTATAAAATGCCATCAATAAATTAAAAGAGCACAAAAGCTCACTAATCAGGCAAATGGTTATTCTGGACCTGGCTGGACTGTCTGGACACTCTCTAACTGGGAGTCATGGCTTCTTCCAATCCTTAGTTCTCTAATACTATCTTTCTCCTTCTTTTATTTGGACCCTGTGTTTTTCCAATTAATCTCTCGATTCCTACAAAATCGCATACAAGCAATAACCAATCAGGCAATACAACAAATGCTCCTTTGAACAACCCCACAATATCACCCCTTTCCCCGAGATCTGCCAGCAGTCTAAATTCTTTCCCATTTTTAGGTTTCCATGCCGCCCCCAATCCCGCTCAAAGAAGCCTTGAGAAACTTCGCCACCCCCTGAAACCTGTTATCACCCTCTCTTCTCTAATTCTTTCTCTCTCTATAAAAAGACAGGTATGTCAGGCCTCCATGTGCAAGCCAGGACCCAGAAAGTCTAAAGTCCTGCCTGCCTTGGCTGATGACCCCATCTCCCGCCTACATTCACCATTATCCCTGATTGCCCAGTGGAGCTTCCCGCCAGACATCAACCCACCCTGCCATCTTAACTGTTCTTACGTCTTACCCCACCTGCCATTGTAACTGAACTTATGGTAATGTATACTCCTTGCCCCTACTCCCACCACTGTAACTAATCTTACTCCATAACACCCCTGCCCCCTCCCCAAAAGATCTGCCCCGACCTATAAAACCAACTCCCATCCCACGCCCTTTTCGGCCTTAGCCTACCTGCACCCAGGTGAATAAACAGCCATGTTGCTCACACAAAGCCTGTTTGGGGAGTCTCTTCATTCAATGTTCACGTTTTTAACACCCAGGAATTCGAGGCTGCAGTGAGCTGTGATGGCACCACTGCACTCCAGCCTGGGCAACAGAGCAAGACCTTGTCTCTATAAAAACAACAGCAACAAAAAAACTGGAAACCATACCAAGGCCCATCATTGTGAAATTAAATAACTCCTGGGGACAATGAAATGATCCTGAAACTTTCCAGAGTAAAAAAAATATAGGTCTAATACAAATAATCCAAAATCATAATGGACTTCTCAATAGCAATACTAGAAATAGAAGAAAATGGAGCAAGGCCTTCAAAATTCTAAAGAAAAAATTTCTATAGAATTGTAAACCCAACCAACAAATTTAAGAATTTTAAAAAAGCTATTTTCAGACATGCAAAGCTTTAAGGTATTTCCCTTTCATGTATGCATTCTCAGAAAGCTATTGGGGTTTTACTCCACCAAAACAAAGGGGCACGCCAAAGAGGAGGAAGACGTGAAATCCGTGTCAACACAGAGATGAGAAAGAAGTGAAGCAAATCCCCAGGATGATGGTCCCAAATTGGTGGCTGGGCAACAGCCCTACAGAAAGCAAACCAGGACAGAAGATGCCAGAAGGGTTGTTTTCAGGAAAGAAATGGATTGATAAATTATTTGGTATGTCTGACCACAATGAAGAGTTTTACAGTTTCGTCAAGAAGTTTGGATTGACAGGTATATAGAAAACTAATAAATGGAAAAAATGAGACATATTAATTCTAGAAAATACAAAGAGCTATACAAGAAAGGAAATGGAATCATACCATATGGCTCAATTTTAAACATATTTACATAATCAGAAACATTTAAACACTAAATATTCATTTAAACAAAAAGGGTGATATAACCATTTTGAAAGATAAAGGTGAGGCAGTGTGCACAGGTGGTGGGGTAAGAGAGCTATATTCTTGACTTCCATTGTGGGAGGCCAATAGATATTTATCTAAAAAATTTAACATAATTATACTGCCAATTCTTACCTAGAAATATGGAGGTAAATGTCAGAAGAAATAGGAATAGAGGACTGCTTTGATTTTTCAAAGTATTATAGTATTTGACTTTAAAAAATGATATATATGCATTTGTTTGACATAGATTACAAATTCAGTTTTTGTTTGTTTGTTTCTGAGACAGGGTCTCACTCTGTTACCCAGGCTGGAGTGCAGTGGTACAATCTTAGCTTACTGCAACCTCCACCTCCGAGTTTAAGCAATTCTCCTGCCTCAGCCTTCTAAGTAGCTGGGATTAAAGGCATGCAGCTCATTTTTAAAATTTTAGTAGAGAGAGGGTTCCACCATGTTGGCCAGGCTGGTCTTGAACTCCTGGCCTCAAGTGATCTGCCTGCCTTGGCCTCCCAAAGTGATAGGATTACAGGTGTGAGCGACCATGTCCAGCCAAAGTTTTTTTTTGTTTGTTTGAGATAGTCTCACTCTGTCACTCAGGCTGCAGTGCAGTGGTGTGATCTCAGCTCACTGCAGCCTCGACTTCCCTGTGCTCAAGTGATCCTCCCACCTCAGCCTTCCAAGTAGCTGAGACTATAGGCTCACACCACCAGGCGTATTTTTGTATTTTTTGTAGAGACAGGGTTTCACCATGTTGTTCAGGCTGGTCTCAAACTCGTGGACTCAAGTGATCTGTCAACTGCAGCCTCCCAAAGTGCTGGGATTACAAAAAACTAAATTTTTTAAAAGTTAAAAACGACCATGATAACAAAAGGTTGGAAGCAACCTCTAACCTAGGGGAAAACATGGTGAAAATCAATTAGCAGAAACACTTTTTTTTTGTCTTTACTCTGAAAATACATGAGAGAGCTGATAATTTAAAAAAAGCGTGAGTCCTGCAGCCCCATCCTTTCTCTAATGGGCCCTGGTATCATGTTCCTCTCTCAGCTCTGCCACTGAACTCTGTGCCTTAGTTTACTTCTCTGCACCAGGGGCTCACCCCAAGACCATTCCCAGCAGCTTCCCAGGTGATGTGGTACCCCTAAGGCTGGGCTTTGCCAGCTATGGCCCAGCTCCTTAGTATGACCAGGGGGCACCAGGTTGTTGAGGATGTGACTGTGGGCACCATTCTAGGCCAGTGGTTCTCATATTGCATTCCAGCAGCAGGAATGTCACATGGGAACTTGATAGAAGTGCCAATTATTGGCCCCACCTAATACCCTCTGAATTAGAGCTTATGGAGTGGGGTCCTACAAGCTGGGGTTTTAAGGAATCCTCCAGATGATTCTGAAATGCATGAGAATCTGCCAACTGCTGATCTAGGCCAGCCATTAGTGTAGCCTGGGGAGGGACTGGGGCTGTCTAGGCCAAGAACAGGTAGAAAACACTAGCCTCATCTGAACTCCTGAGATTGGGAACCACCACCAATAAAAACCAACCCTATAGTCTCTCCTCTTGAAAGAGAAAGATAAGCTGAAGGGCCTGGAGAACGCATACATTTTTTCTTTCCCTGTTCCTGGCTTGGTTCCAGCTCTGCTCACCTCTCCCACTTGTCTTGGTTTTACAAAAGGCTGTGTAGATGGTGTCAGTCAGGCAGGAGATGGAGGTCCTGGGGAGGCAGGAGGCAGAAGACTGATGTTTATCCCTTGGGAACATTACCATAGGCCAGATGGCCCCTCTTCAAATGGAAAGAAACGTAACTCCACAAGGAAAGAATTCTAAACCCCCAGTTCCTCCTCCTTCCATCCCCAGGGAGACCTTGTAGACGGTGCTAAAAAACAGCTCCAAACCTCCAGCAGCTGGGAAGAGAGCCAGAAGCTGTCTTTCTTCCTCATCCTGGCCTCCCTTCCCAGCCCCTGCCAATACTTTCCACTCAGTCTGGTTTCCTGGTGAGGGTCCTGCAGTCATGGGCCCTGGGGGACCCCCAAGAAAAGGCCCTCGGGAGGGAAGGGACCAAGGGCATCCTTGGGCTAACTGTCTACATCTCTTGTCCACTGTTCTCTCCTTCCCACTTCTATCTTCAAAAGGCTCTTTCCCAGGATGAATCGGGTGCTAGGACAACTGTGGTCCAATTCACAAGCTCTCCCTGCCCCTGTGTCTTATTTCAGATGCGAGAATAACTATACAGTGTAAACTTATAAAGCATTTTTAATGGTTGTAGATTGGAAATAAAATATGTCATATGAACAGTTGCCATGAAGGGAAAAAGAAAGCATAGGTACTAAAGCTATTCCTCAATATAAGCATATAATACTTTCGGAGTAGTAGGATATAGCTGGATGGAAAAACAACCCACTCTTCCTCCTACCACCCACCCATCCTAATATCCCTTTGTCTGTAATCACAAACAGTGAGAAACAGGACTACAAAGGAAAATAAGTCTGGAGCAGGGGCCATTTCTTGTGGGTAACTTGAAAGCCAAGGATTTGCCTTTAAGTAAAGACCCAATTATTAATTGGCAAAGGCCACTTAGAACTATTAGAAAAAAGTTTAGCTATTTGTCAAGTCATGTGACATCCAATAGTCTCTTCATAATTCATACTATAACCCAGACTATTTACCAAAAGATGTGTTTTTCTCAGAATCCAAGCATAGTTCTTAGAATATAATTTCTCTATAAGTAAGGACCACATTTATTATGATGTTAAAAAACTATTTATTAAATACCTGCAGCATAAGGTAAGGCATTAGATAAGTTAAATGGAATAAATTACAGGTTCCCTATCCCAAATGTATTCTCTTTTTAAACCAACAGTACAACTCCCATTATACTATGCACATTTTGTTGTGTTTTCATCATCAAAAATGATATGCTTGTTTTCTTCCCACTCAGTTTTAGAGGTGGTAGACATAACAAATACTGCCCTAGAAAATTGTTTACCTGGTATTGGAATTGAATGGGCTGTAGTTGGCTGTCGTTCTGAGTCATCTTCCTAGCCAGGGCCTCTTTCAGTGCAAGGGCTTTATTCAACTCAATCAGCTCCTTAGACATCTGCGCTTGACGGAGAGCATGCTGAGTGGTAAAAGTGTCAGAAGACCTGCTTATCTCTGGACTGGTTTCCACTTGCTGGGGAAAAAAATCAGGATAATAATTTATAAGAGAAACAAGCAAATGGAGTTCCTTAAGCACTATTTCATCAAGTCTCACAGGCACTTCTCCATTAACAATATCCCTGTTTCTTTACAATGGTGGCTCCATATACATTTGTTTTAAGTATCTAATGTAATAAACTAAGCTAGCCTATTTCTTTGCTTTCTCAAGCATCTTATTTCTTATACAGTTTAACAGACTCTCTTAGTATCAGCTAAGTTTCTTTGCTCTTTCCTTTACTGATCTGGACAGCATTTCTTATGTTTACCTCATTCTAAGGGATTCTTACAGGAGAGAAGGTCCTGGAAATGGCACTTCAGGAATGGTGGAAATGGGGAAAAGGGTTCATTTGTTCTCACACAGCTGACCTCTAGTACCTGATCTAGTACTTTCCTTCTTTCAGAATGTGAAAACTATTGACATAGATTCATTTTAGGGAGAAAAGGCTGTCTCAAGCAACCCGTCGTCCAGCCTTTCATTCTGTCTTTATTAACCTTTAGTCAACATCTAATACATTTTATCTATCCTTGTGATCTGAACACTGAAATTATTTTCCTTGGTTCTTTTAGCTCCTAATATCTCATCCATAGAAAATGATGCTGAGAAAAAATTCTCTTCCATTTCTCCTCTAGTGCTTTTTGACTTGGCCGTAATCTCTTCATTTTTTCCTCTCTTCATTTTTAACTTGCTGGACAGTTGATGCACAACACTAGCCTCTAACAAGAAATCAGTAAGCTGGATTGCAAATATGGAAAATTAATCCCTCAGAAGTCCTGCCCCCCATTACCAGTTATACTATTAGAGGTAGAGCCTATCCAAGGTAGGGATTTTATGAAGCTGAGATTTACACTAAAGACTTCTGGATTTCCCAGGCGTTCTATGGAGGATGGTAACAATCCCAGGTTCTCTTTTACAGTTGACTGATAAATTACAGGAAATGGCAGTTAGAGCTCCTGGTTCTACGCAAAGGGGCCAATTACTTACGGCTTCTTGTTCCACTGCAGTGTCAATGGCTGCAGCCATGCAAGCAACAGTTTCATCCTGCAGTAACAAATGTTTTGGTTTAGGGAAAGAGCCCGAAGTAAAGCTTACTAGTGGATTTTATACTGGTTATTTATTTTTTTTTCAAGTGTATACAGAGACTGTTTTATAGTCACAGAAACCCCAATAGCCACATGTTTCCATTTCCCATCTCTCAAGAGTCTTTCTTCTTCATAAAGGACAACTGTGTAGTTTTTATAGAAAATAAGGTCATGTGGCAACTTACATATTTCTTACACTTCTCCTGCCCTGCCAGAGACTGTTGGGCCAGAGTGAAACATTTAGCCATTCCAACAGGCCAAAGTTTAACCCATTTTATGGACTCTACCATTTCTTTTTATGCATCTACCACTAAGTATACCTCTATTAATGTACAAGCCTAGCCAGTTCCTAGGGGGGCATACCATTCTAAGAACAGACATATCAAATAATGGCAATGCATCAGAAAAGTAAATAGAATGGTTATTTTTTATTTTTATTTTATAGTCAGTCAAGGTAGCACGAACTTCCTCTATAAAGAAATAAATGCCTGGCCAGGCACAATGGCTCATGCCTGTAATCCCAGTGCTTTGGAAGGCCAAGGCGGGTTGGTCACGAGGTCAGGAGTTTGAGAGCAGCCTGGCCAACATGGTGAAACCCAATCTCAACAAAAAATACAAAAAAAAAAAAAAAAAAAAAAAAAAAAAAATTAGCCAGGTGTGGTGGCAAGCACCTGTAATGACAGATACCCTGGGGGGTGGGGCAGGGGAATCGCTTAAACCCAGGGGGCAAAGGTTGCAATGAGCCAAGATTGAGCCACTGCACTCCAGCCTGGGTGACAGAGCAAGACTCTGTCTTGGGGTGAAAAAAAACAGAAAGAAATAAATGCCTTAGATGGGTACCCCCAGAAAAATGCGCTCATGTAGTTAGATAAAGGTATTGCAGCCTCTGTCCCTCATGTAAATAAGACCTGATCATAAAGATACGGAATGAATCTAAGTGTGTATCAACGGATGACTGGATAAAGAAAATTTGGTATGGTATACACATACCAAATTTTCTTTATCCAATCATCCATTGATGTGCTTTGAACTACTACTGGAATAGTAGTATTCACACCATGGAATACTATTCAATCATAAGAGTGAAATCATGTCTTTTGCAGCAATGTGAATGAAACTAGAGGCCATTATCTTAAGTGAAATAACTCAGAAAGTCAAATACTGCATGTCCTTACTTACAAGTGGGAACTAAATAATGTGTACACATGAACATAGTGGAATAACAGACATTGGAGACTTGGAAGAGTGGGAGGGTTGGGGGTCGGTGAGGGATGAGAAATTACTTAATGGGTACAAAGTACACTATTCAGTAAAAACCCATACTTCAGTACTAGCCAATATATCTATGTAACAAAACTGCCTTTGTACCCCCCTAAATTTAAAAAAAGAAAAAAGGGAAAAAAGAACAGATCACATGGAGCTACTCAGGTAGTGGTTACTAGGAGGAAAAGCGTAAGCACTAATTCTTTGGCAAATTTTTTTGGGGGGGGCATTCAAACAACTGCCACCTAGAAGGGAAACCTAAAACTACTTAACAGGACTAATTTGTTTATAGGCTACCATATTAGCAAGCTCTGTTCTCAGCACTGGAATTTAGGCTTTATTTGGCATTGTAAGACATGGATTACCACTTCTGTGTAAGTGATTATTCTTCAAAGCTCTGGGAAAAAAAGAATTATTTCCAGGAAGTCATGGGTGAAAGAGCTATTAGCGCAACAGATAAGAATTTAGGGTTAGCACATGAAGTCTCTACATCGGCCCTATGAAACATTACATAGTTGTTGAAACTTAACTTTTAGTACCTTCAATGTGAAGAGTGAAGAGACCACTCTCCTCTCACTTGTTTTTTGGAGACACAGTCTTGCTCTGTCATCTAGGCTGGAGTGCAGTGGTACCATCTCAGCTCACTGCAACCTCTGCCTCCCGGGCTCAAGTGATCCTCCCACCTCAGCCTCCCAAGTAGCTAGGACCACAAGTGTGCACCACCACACCCAGCTCATTTTAAAACTTTTTGTGGACAGGGTCTCACTATGTTGTGTAGGATGGTCTAATTTTATTTTATTTTTTTGTAGGGACAAGGTCTCACTGTATTGCCTGGGCTCATCTCAAGCTCTTGGGCTCCAGTGATCCACCTGCCTTGGCCTCCTAAAGTGTTGGGATTACAGGCGTGAGCCACTGTACCTGGCCTGAAGGGATCCTTAATAAGTGCTATTTGTAAAGCATTTCCCTTATTCTTCCCAGAAATTCCCAACCAGTGAGGCTCAAAGAGAACTTAAAGGAAACTTCAGTGGTCTCACATCCTTTCTCATCATGAATTATAGTACTGGTGATTCTCCAAGTGCAGGACATACTAAATCATTCTTAAAAAGGATTTTTAAAAATCTACAATGGTTACCCTTTCCTCCCTCCCATGTTTCAATTTTCAGTATAAGGACTAATCAGAGGCCTATCCTAGGTTATTAGGGCCTATAACACTGGCCTTTGGAGATTCTCTAGTACCTTCCAGAGAGTTAGGATCAAAAGTAGATGGGCTAATCCTTGAAGAAGATATGTTGTTACTATAGGTTGTTACTATAGGTTTATCTTTGGCTTTTGGCCCAGTGAAATTTTACGATACTAAGGTATAAGCTTAGGGCTATGGCAAGAACATGACAGAATTCTGCCTCTATAATCCTGAATGTAAATATATGACAGTAAGATTTATTTCAGTCTCACAGCCCTCTTTCTCCTTATTCTAAGACTATAACCAAGAGTCTCTTAAAAATAAAATGTGATTTCATAAAGGTGGTGGTCAGGGGAACAAGGCCAGTGTACACTGTGTTACATTAACCAGCAATATCTTCCAAGAGGAAGTTTGTGCTTATAGGCTGTACCATTACTGGGCATGCAAAATGCTTTTTATGGAACTGGTCTTGGAGGAGTGGATATAAACAAAAAAGATTATTTGATTTTGTGGGAACTGAAAGGACTGCTTGAATTTTCTCACAGAAAACTGCAGCAAGGAGGTTTGCTTGAATTATATTTTAAAGGAAGAAATGGTACAGTTTAGCGCTTAAAGCCCCAGGAAGAATATCTAAGGAACAATGGTGGCCTTTATAATGGAAGAGGGGGTGTTCACTAGTCACTTAAAATAAAAATAGTTTTAATCCAGAATGAAGGGTATAAGCACTTACTTTTGAAACATTTTGCTTTCACTGTAGTGAGTCTTAATAAAAGCCACGGGATACATTGTTGTGTATTTCCAAAAAAAAATGTAGCTGGGAGGGTCTCCAAACAACAGATGTGGAGAACTCTGATTCAGGAGTCCAGCAGGACTCCTGGATGAAAGGGCTTACTCTGCCTAACTGTGACAGTGGATGGAGGCCAGGAACTTCATTAGTTTGTGGCAATCTTTAGCACCCTCCTACTGTGTGTGCCAAGTGCATTTTAGTGGCAGACACAGTGATTCTAGAGTTCCTCTGAGCCAGCCACCACTAGCAACTCCCTCTGCGGGCACACCAAGCACCAGTCATATTGCCAGATTCTCACTGAGGATGCTATATCTTATTTTAATTATTTGGTTCCATGGGTTTCTTTCATCTTTCCCATGTGACTCAAAGCCCCAGAAACACAGTGGTATGAATTCTCTAAGATTGGTGTGATGGCCATGAACAATGGTGGTTGCCCTGGGTCACTATGTCAGAGCTTGTAAGTTTTGGCTCCAGTGGGCTTCTGCAGCCTAGATTATCTTAATTCTGAGGAAGCTCACACAAGGTTTTCATGTATCAGATGTTTCAGCTGTATTTGAGTGGCATTATAAATGGTGAAATTTAACCTTGTGATAGCCGTTCTCCCGCATGTACTCTATACTTCAGCCACATTGAAGTTCTTACCATTTTTTAAACTTTCATGCCTCTTTGCTTTTATATATATCTTTTCCTCTATATATAGTTTAGTCCCTTTTAAAAAAAACTTTATTTATTTTATATAAAAACTTTAAAAATTTTCCTTGTGGAACAGGGCTAACTCATAGGCAATGCATCCAGAGTTGGCCTGTCCCTTCCCTTTTGTCTGCATAGCAAACTCCTATTCATTTTTAGGACCCAGTTTCTTCTATGATGCCTTCCTGAATTTTCTGGACTAACAGTTAATTACTCTTTGTTTTGTGATCCCACTGCACTTTGCTCATATTGCTGATATAAGATAAAACAGACATGACAGAGAGTTCCCAGTTTTCCTTGCCTTCAACCCTTGCCTCCTTTCCCTTTTCCCCCTATTTTGCCACCTCTTCCACCTGTGAACCTTGATGAACTGAGAAACTACAAGGCTTATAAGAACAACTCTCAAAATATAATAACAGTTATCAGGATAGGATTGCACCAGTATATTCCTGAGGAAGAAGTATAAAAAAATGAAACCATCATTCTCAGCAAACTGACACAAGAACAGAAAACCAAATACTCATAGGTGGGTGTTGAACAATTAGAACACGTGGACACAGGGAGGGGAGCATCACATACTGAGGTCAGTAGATGGGGGGCTAGGGGAGGGACAGCGGGGATGGGGAGGGTTGGGAGGGATAATGAGGGGAGAAATACCAGATATAGGTAATGGGGGGATGAAGGCAGCAAACTACCTTGCCACGTATGTACCTATGCAACAATCCTGCATGATCTGCACATGTACCCCAGAACCTAAATTACAATTAAAAAAGAAACAATCTCAACCAAAAGTTTCACAGCAATTAACATAAAAAAACTGTTACCTGAGCTAAACCACAAGGACACACACCCCTTTCTTCTCTTTACTCTATAAAACTCCAATCTTGCTTTACTTGGGAATTTACCTGGAGTTCAGGTATGCCCTGAGTGCATCAGCTAAATAATGCTGCTGCTGCTTTTTTTTTTTTTTAAAAGCAGAATGTCTGAAGTGAGAAGCACTTTTTTTTTCCTGAGATGAAGTCTTGCTCTGTCACCCAGGCTGGAGTGCAGGGGCACAATCTCGGCTCATTGCAAACGATTCTCTTGCCTCAACCTCCTGAGTACCTGGGACTACAGGTGCATGCCACCACACCCGGCTAATTTTTGTATTTTTAGTAGAGATGGGCGTTTCACCATGTTGGCCAGGCTAGTCTCAAATTCCAGGCCTCAGGTCACTTTGGCCTCCCAAAGTGCTGGGATTACAGGCATGAGCTACTGCTCCTGGCCGAATAATGCTTTTAACCCCTATTTGAATCACTTAAATCATCTCCTTTTGACAGTAATACAGCTGGTCAGATTACATAGCTAGGAAGTGGCAGAACTGGCTTTAAACCAGGGTCTGTGTGGCTCTAGAGCCCAGGCTCTCAATTACTGTACCCTGTTTGTTAGATAAATGAGCTGTCATCTTGGACTGCTAATGACAGCTTTATAGTACTCCTTATTCTAAAACACTGCCTGATAGTCTTCTGGGAGTTTACTCATTTAATTTCTTAGAGCTGGCCATCATAACGAATCCTGACAATATTGTATGGCACTTTTTAAATTTCTTCTTCAAGAATAAATCTATATGTGGATGATTTTGTGACACACTACTGACAACTCTAGAACACTGGGCATGACCAGGGATGACAGTCTCACAGTTCCGGTAAAATTAAAACCTCTGCCCAAGAGCTAGGAATTACCATCAGGCACTTGCATACACATTACTGTTTCAGAATAATAAACAACACAGTGTAGATGGAACAAAACCAACCATTACCCCTTAACATAGTATGTTATAGTATGAGTTAATTTTTTTTAAAAAAGCATGTATGCCTAAGGACAAAGAGATGGAACACCAAAACAAAAACAGATATTTAGGGGTAGTGGGATTACGAGAATTTTTCTTCTGGGAGAAACAACAAACAACCACCCCCATCCCCAAAACACACCTGCCACTACTATAAAATGGGAACTTATGGTAGAACAATCATTCAAACTTACTTATTATTGGTTATAAAAGAGACTTATGGTATTCCCTGGTTCCTCTAAGTTATCTGTCAGAATTTAACTTTTCTACAATTGGGGTATGGTACAAGGCCTCTTTTTAAGTTAGCATACACTGTGAGGACAGAAAATCAATGACTGCTGTTCTTGCTACCTAGGCAATTTTGCACTGCTATGTTGTTGCTACTGGTATTTGATTAGAATACTGAAATACTAATGTGCGCTGCTTATGTAGCCTATGAGTGTTTTGATTTAACAAACTCAATATTCAGATTATATCAAATGATCCATGACCTCTGTCCTCAAGCAGCTCACAATCTAGTTGTTTCAGCTAAAGGCACAGAGTTACAAAGGCTTGTATCTGCCAAGAGAAACAAAAGAAAGTGATATGCCTATTTACACTACCTCTACTTGGCTTACCGATAACTGGGTAATCAATTGCTGCAGGTTACAAATTATCTCTACATTTTCTTTCAATTCCTCGTCTTCCAAGGTCTCCACTAGCTTTTGAAGATTCAGTTTGCATCTGAAAATTCAAACAAAAAGAACCTAAGGGTTATTAATATGACAAAGGCCAGAGGCTTCATGATTATATGCTAAGGTGCTATAGGTTGCTAACAAATATCTGGTAGGAAACTTACGCCGCATGCTGCCTGAGCTCTTCTAGCTTGGCGTTCATTTTTTCATTCGCTTGCTCTGTCTGCAACAAAGACCCAGGAGATCATCAGTGGCACTGCCTGACAGCCTCACATAATTATGCTCTCTCCTACTCCTATGAATTAAAAGCTAGGTAGAGAGGCTGCCTTCTTTGCTGTAACAGAGGATTTAGTGGGCTTTCGTTATTTAGTGAAAAATGTGTTTTTTTAAAAAAAGTCATGGAAATTAGTCCTTCAGTCAATATGAGCTACTAAAAATAGCATCCAAGCAGCTGGGTTTTATGCTTGCCATGAAACTCAGACTATGGGGTGGAGTGTGAAGCCTTAATTCCATAGGAAACTTTGCAACTGGGGGGAGAAAGCAATACTTCCTGGCATTTTAGTTCCTGCTGTTTGCAAAAAACCCCAAAAAACAAACAGAAAAACCCCACACTTACTTTAAACTTCCTCCTACACTATACTGTTCCCTAGCCCCAGCATAAGGGCATTTAAAACATAAAAGGGCCTCACACTAAATTTGAGCTGAGATTTTTTTTTAAGTTACACTATCTGATATGGTAGGCTAGTTTTAGCAAAAGACAGCAAGAAAAAGAGTATGGCACAAGTATAATGGTAGAGAAAGAAGAAACGGCAGAAGGCAGCTTACGTTTTAGGAAGGGTGATTGATATTTTCAGTTTTATTTCAATCACAGTTATCTGTAACATGCTGGATGCTATAACAGATTTAGAAAGAATAGTTTATATAGGACAAAAATGTTGTGCTTGTTATGAAATTCTGACAGGATATCAAACAATAAGCCTATCAGGCAGACACTGTAACAACCTTATAAAGGTTGGAAGATTATGTGGCTAGAATAAGAAGTAGTTTCTGTTACATCAGCCTCATTCACATACATGTGAAACATGGTTTCTAGAGTTACTTCAAAGCATAAAATACAGCACTGGAGACAGAAAACTGTATATAAAAATCCCCTATACCCCATTTTCACCCTCTGTTAGTAATGGACAATACAATGGGCGTAAGATTTAGCCTACTTGAAAGAAATCTTTAAGCAGCTTATCTTTCCTTGACTAGAGAGCACACTGATGCATGAAGGTGTATACATTACAGAGCTTCAGTGATATTTTGGTGGAAACTCATTTTCACTTCTGGCAACTGCCGTGATATCAAAGATTGAGTTGCATTTAGACTAGTAGAAAAACCTTAGTAATAGAGACAGCATGCACTGATCCAGGAGGTTACTGACAGGCAGGTAGTAGGAGTCAGAACTTGTGTAATCAGTTATATAGTGATCCGCTATTTGGAAATCAACCATATGGAAAATGAATTAAAATTAATTTCCCAGCTGTTATATCTCACCATGGCAGCTGTTAGTATGGAATATGAAATGTGACAACATTAGGAGAAGAGAGATGGAAAAGAACTAAAATCTTGGTGAAGGAATGATTACTTGGTATTATGGATAAAGATTAGGCAGGTGAAAAAAGGTACTTGGTTCTTTCCTTTCTGGTATTTTTAAATGAATCTATTTTAAAATGAAATTTATGTAGATTCTTTGTGGTAGAAACATAAATGTTAACTATATAATTCTTTTAACTTTTTTGTATGTTCAATTATAAGCCCACATATTTACCCCAGAGGGGCTCCCTGGAAGATATGGTAGTACAAATACATTTCTTTAAACATAAGCTGTCTCTCATAAGAAGAAGTATGTTACACATTTTGGAAACTAAACCTAGTAAATGTTCAGATTGCTAGTATTTTATTCTTGGGGCCTCACCAAAATGATCCTCTCCAACATCTGGGCTGTCTGACCAGCTGCCTCGCTCAGACCACGACTTAATTTTTCATTCTCCTCTACCAGGAACTGATTCTTCTCCATCAGGGACTGCAGATTCTCTGATGGTTCCATACTAAAACAAAGTAAATAATGGATTAGAAAAATATCTGACTGATAACACCTATATCAAAGGTGGATAAAAATATATCCCATAGGCCTTTTGGATAGGTAGGGGGGTTAGGTTAAAATTATACCACAAAAGTCTGGGGAAAAAAGTCCAACCCAATCTATCCTCCTAGTCAGGTAGTATATTGGATGTACAAGAAACACATTTCTGAAGTACTTCAATGGTTTGGAGAAAGGTAAGATATGGTTGCAACAGGAACGACTAACCTCTGCCTTGGCTCTTGGTTGGGATCTTTCTGTTTGTGTCCTGTAGGTATGAAGTGATGGCTAACTGGAGCAAAATAAATGTTCTCTCCCTTTTCTTCCCACCCTCAATCCCTCGTTAAAGATTAGGGAAATAGAGAAGGGAGCGGTATAGGAGGTAGAAGTGACGCTGCTCAGCGTCAAAATTCAACCTGATCAACATAAATGTATTCCCCATTTACTGTAAAGTTTAGGGTAATAGCATTTGAGAAGTGAAAAAGTTGAAAAGATGACCAGCGGCCACTAAGAAAACATTTCACAACTCTTCATAAATAAGAGCTCCCTTCTAAATGCTTGCTTTGCTTCAAACTTCTGACCCATAGCCTCTTGTTCATTTGTCTATCAATTTAAAATTGCTTGGAGTGAGTAATGACAACAACGGTGTCCATTTCAAATATAAGGGGAAGGGAGGGTCAGAAATAGCATGAAGGAATACATATAGATAAGAACCTTTGGAATGTATACATATCACTTGTTATCAGTTCCAGACTAGTAAAGCAGACCAATAAGAAGGAGGGCTGTTTTTGTTTTAATCCACTGGGATGAAATGTTCAAAAGACTGGAAAACTGGACTGGTTAAAAAAAGATCAGAAGAAATATGAAGATTTGATCTGAAGAAGACTGAGGGTAAAAAATGAATAGTTGTCAACACTATGATAAAGAGAAAACTCAAGGACAGGGAACAGCTGTTCTCAATCTCAATAAAGGACAGAAAAGAACTTCAGAAATAGAGTAGATGCCCTCTCACCCATCTTAAGACCTCCATCAATTTTTATAGAGGATCTTGGACTGCACTTTATCAAAAGTTAATAGCAAGGCTACACAATAAGGTTTCATATTACACTTACTATGGGTAATATGAAAGTTGAGAATTTACTAAGACTGTTATGAAGGAATGTTCAGTTAAAACGCAGATTATAAAAATAAACTGTTAGTAAATTTAAGTGTTATTTCCTTATTTCTTTATTAAACTGAAAACTTCCATGCGTCATTCATGTAAACCGACATGCTTCAAAGTAATGATACTTGTAACTCAATAGTTTTTTATTTCCCTAAAAAATTTCCAGGGTTTCTCTAAATGGGAAAACCTTATTTAAGTTTAATTGTTGATTTTTCCAAGGAAAATTTAGCACTTAGATGTAGGTTCTTCATTGTAATTTGTGGCAAATGCTTGAATATTTAACTACTACTATAATTAATAATAGTTAACACTTTTATGGCATTATGGGCTAGGCTCTATTCTAAACACTTTAAATACATTAAATTTTTAAAAATTCTCCCAACAGCTCCTATGAGGTAAGTTCTACAGTTATCCCCATTTTACAACTGGGGAAACTGAGGCACAAATAAGTAAATAACCTATAGCCACACAGTTGGTGGGTAATGTGAAGCAAGGATTTGAGCTCAGCAGTCTCATTTCAGAGCCCATGCTCTTAATTACTATGCTGACTACTGAGATAGGTACTATAAGAATGCAGAGAATCCTGGATATAATAGCTCTCACAGTAATAGGGAAAAAAAAAGAGTTCTTGGCAAGATTATAGATATAGGATCACATGATATAGGACAGCCATGTAAAGGGTAAAATTTTTAAAAGTAAAGCAAAAACAGGACTAGGGCCAGGCAAAGATCAGACTGAAAAAGAAAATATAACAGAAAACCAATGTTTTCACATACTACTAAATTGCCAAGTCTAGGAATTCAAGTAAGCTGAGCATGTGCAAATTGACAAACACGCACAGAAAATAAATACAAAACCTTCAATGACATGTTAAAAAACAAAAGAACATAATCTAAAGATAAAAAGTGAAAATATTCATATAAATGTACTTTTTGTTAACAAACTTTATAAAATGTCTCTAAAAATACAAATACATTTTTGCGAAACAAAGGAGCATCTTTATTTCTCTGTAAAACATCGAACAATTAAGTTTAATTGCTTGATTCATCAACTTTTTTTTTAGAATCTATTGCTTTTGCAGCTGAAACTATTTCCTTTATATTTCCTGTATATTATAGACAATCAGAAGTCTGGATTTTTTTTGTGCTAAATTGAAAGGAAAGGAAGATGGGTCAATTGCTTCTAAATGAGTATGGTGAGAATAAAATGTAATCAGGAAACCCAGACTAAATTATCTAAAGGGGGAAAATTATGAAGAAAGAGGTAGTCATCTCTGGGTGATGAAGTTATAGCAACTTTAAGTTTTATTCTCCACACTTCTCTAAATGTTCTAGAAGCAATTAACCACTTTTATAATCAGAAAAAATGAATAACTGAAAACAAAAATATTGAAAGTAGGCTCACATCATACATAAGAATAAATACCAAATGCAAAAACGAAGTGTAAAAAATAAAACAACATTATTACCAGAAGAAAACATGGGTGAATTCCTCTTTAAACCTTGCTGTAGGGAAACCTTTCTAACTATGAATCCAGAAGCATGGAGAGAATATAAACAGTATAGTCACTTTGGAAAACAGTTTGGCAGTTTCTTAAAAAGTTAAACATATGACCCAACAACTCTATTCCCAGGCATTTACCCCATGAAAACACATGTCCATATAAAAACTTGCAAGTGACTACAGCAGCAGTATTCATAACAGACAAAAAGTGGAAACAACCCAAACCTCCATCAATTTGCAAATGGATGGGCAAATATGGTTTATCTAGGCAATGGAGTACTATTCCACAAGACAAGGGAAGCGCTAACGCATGCTATAACATGGATGAACCACAAAACATAAGTGAAAGAAGCCACACAAAAAAAGATTACAATCTCTATGATTCCAGGTACGTGNATCTATAAAGACAGAAGAGAGATTAGTGGTTGCCTTGGGCTGGAAGTGGGAATGAGAGTGATAGCAAATGGGCATGAGGGAAACTTTTGGGGTGATGGACATGTTCTAAAACTGAATTGTGGTGACAGTTGTACAACTCTGTAAATTTACTAAAAATCATTGAATGGTACACATAAAATGACTGACTTTTATGGCATGTAAAATTTTAGCTCAATACAGCTGCTGAAAAAATCCAGAGGCAATAAAAAATTAATAAGCTTTATACTACATAAAAATTAAATTTTTTTTGTATGACAAAAAACTATAAATAAAGTAAAAGACAACTGACAAGCTGGGAGAAATTATTTGTAACACACACCACAGACTAACATCAGGAATATATAAAGAACTGTCAAAAATGAGGACCAAACTCAGGGTTGCTATTATAAAAAGATACATTGGTGAGGATGTGGAAAAACTGGAACTTTTATGCATGGCTTATGGAGATGTAAAATGGTACAGCTACTATGGAAAACAGTATGGTGGTTTGATTTAAAAATTAAAAACAGAACTACCATAATTCTAGGTATATACCCAAAGGAATTGAAAGCAGGGATATCAGGTATTTGTATACCCATGGTTTTTTTGTTGCTTGTGTATGTGTGTGTGTGCGTGTGTGTTTTGAGACAGGGTCTCATTCTGTTGCCTATGCTACAGTGAGTGGCATGATCACAGCTCACTGTAGCCTCAAAGTCCCTGGGCTCAGGTGATCCTCCCACCTTAGCATCCCAAGTAGCTGTGACTACAGGTGCACACCACCACACGTAGCTAATTTTGTATATTTCGTAGAGACAGGGTTTCACCATGTTGCCCAGGTTGGTCTCAAACTCCTGGGCTCAAGCAATCCGCCCACCTTCACTTCCCAAAGTGCTAGGTTTACAGGCACGAGCCACCACACCTGGCCCGTGTGTCTTGTTTGTTTTTAAGAGACGGAATACTGCTATGTTGCACAGGCTGAAGTGCAGTGGCTATTCATAGGTGCTATCTTAGCATACTACAGACTTAAACTCCAAGGTTCAAGCAATCATCCTGCCTCATCCTACTGAGTAGCTGGGACTTTGGCATGCACCACCACAGCCAGCTGTACACCCACACCCATGCTTATAGCAGCGTCATTCACAATAGCCAAAAGATGGAAGCAGCCCAAGTGTCCATCAATGAATGAATGGATATACAAAATATGGTGTGTGTGTGTATGTATGTGTGTATATATATATATATATATATACAATGAAATATTCTTCAATCTTAAAATCAAAGGAAATTGTGACACATGCTACAACATGGATGAACCTTGAAGACATGCTAAGTGAAACAAGCCAGTCACAAAAGAACAAATAGTATATAATTCCATTCATATGAGGTACCTAGAGTAGCCAAATTCATAGAGACTGAAAGTAGAATGGTGGCTGCCAGAGGCTGGAGAGGAAATGAGGAGTTACTATTTAGTGGGTATAGAGTTTAAGTTTTGCAAGATGAAAAAAAGTTTTGGAGGTAGATGGTGGTGATGGCTGCGTGACATTGTTAATGAACTTAAAGCCACTGAATTGTACACTTAAAATAATTAAAATGGTAAATTTTATGTTATGTATATTTTATCACTATTTATTTTTAAAAAGAGGCCAAAGGACCAAAAAACCCAATAGAAAAATGAGAAAAGACATGGACAATTCACCAGCAAACAGGATAAAAGTGGCCCTGAAAAATATGAAAAAATGCTCAAACTCACTCATAATTCAAGAAATGCAAAGTAAAACAACACTGAGATAGCATTTCTCACCTATCAGACTGCCAAAATTTGAAAAAGTATGACAATACATTCCATTGGTGAGGCTGTGGGGAAACAGGCTTTCTCATACACTGCTGGTAGAAATGCAAACTGGTACATCTCTTCTGAAGGCAAATATGGCAATACCTTTTAAAGGTACAAATGTACTTATCTTTTGTCCCAGCAATCACACTTCTAGAAATCTACCCTTAAGATAAACCTCTGACAAAACAAAAATATATACACAGAGGTTATTCACTGTAGCATGTTTGTAATTGCAAAACATTGGAAATAACCTAAATGTGCATACATAGGAAAGGGGTTCAATTGATATGTATGGCACATGTATACAATAAAAGTACTATGCAGCTGCAAAAGAGAATGAACTTCTCTGAACTGGTAAGAAATGATTTCCAGGAAACACTGAATAATGCAAAGCCACAAAGAATATACAATCATTACATACAGTACACTACCATTCATATGAGAAAACAAGGTGATACAATAAAATACAGAGGTATCTACTCATTTGTACAAAAGAAATACAAGAAGGCTAAACCAGAAACTAAAGAGATGGGTTAAATACAGGGGGAGAGAGAATAATGGTAGAAAAGAGGTAGAAATAAGGGTGGGAAATAGGAATGGGAACAGAGTTGCAGGGATGGAGAGGGAATGACATTTACCTCACTGAGTATATTCTTCTTGAAAAAAATTGTGGTAAGTGTGTGCATTAAGTAGCTTCTCATCACCTATTCCCACTGCCCCCAAACTTTCTACCCTTCCTAGTTGCCAATGTCTATTGTTCCACACTCTAGGTCCATGTGTACACATTATTTAGCTCCCACTGATAAGTGAGAACATCCAATATTTAGCTTTCTAAGTTGTCACAATGCATATTATTCAGGTGATGGTTACACTAAAAGCCCAGACTTCACAACTACACAACATATCCATATAACAAAATTGCACTTGTATCCCATAAATTTATATAAATACAAATTTAAAAAATTATGGCAAACATAATAAACATAAAACTTACCATCTTAATCATTTTTAAGTATGCTGTTTGCTAGTGTTAAGTATGTTCACATTGCTTGCTGTGAAACAGATCTTCAGATTTTTTTCATCTTGCAAAATAACATTTTATACCCATTAAACAACTCCCCTTTTCCACTTACCCCTCAGTCCCCAGTAACCACCATTCTACTTTCTGTTTCTATGAATTTGACTATTTTAGATACCTCACATAAGTGGAATCATACAGTATTTATCTTTTTGTTACTGGCTTACTTCATTAAGCATGTCTTCAATGTCCATCCATATTGTAGCAAATGACAGGATTCTCTTCCTTTTTAAGGCTGAATAATATTCTGTTGCATGTATATACCACATTTTGTCTATTAAGTCATCTGTTGACAAACATTTGGGTTACTTCTACCTCTTAACCTTTGTGAATAGTGCCACTATGAACATGGTCGTGAAGATATCTCTTTGAGACCTTGCCTTCAATGATTTTGGATATATACACAGAAGTGGGATTGCTGGATCATATGGTAAGTCTAGTTTTAATTTTTTCAGGAACCTCCATGCTGTTTTCCATAGTGGTTACATCATTTTACAATCCCACCAACAGCATACAAGGGTTTCAATTTCTCCACATCTTCACATCCTTGCCAACACCTGTTATTTTCTGTTATTTATCTATCCATTTATTTATTTAATAGTAGCCACCCTAATGGGTGTGAGGCAATATCTCATTGGAGTTTTAATTGCATTCCTCTGCTCTGAGTATATCTTTTTGTATAACTCTGATTCTTAGATGCATTATGTCTCACATACCTAAAATGTAAACAAACAAAAGTAACCAAGATGTAGGGGGACACACAATTAAAATTTATCTATGACTCTTACTTTATAGATCCAGGCAGGGTACCTCCATGGGCTTGTAGCAACAAGACCTGTAGCTGTTGTACCTGGGGGAAGCAAAGAAAAATAATCAACTAGTCACTAACCAAATGTTACTTACCCCTTGGCAGTAAAATTACCACAATTAGCAATAGAGTAATTTTACCAAATGCCTATGAAATCTAAGGCAGATTGCATATCTTAGATACTACCAAAGGCATCATACATAGTTGATGATTCAATGATAACAGGAGAATCAGCATTACACGAACTATTACATAGAAGATGAGCTGTCCATTTTATCTACCTCTATCTATTTTTTTTTTTTTTTGTATTTTTTTGTAGAGATGGGGTTTCACCGTGTTGACCAGGATGCTCTCGAATTCCTGACCTCAAGTGATCGACCCACCTCAGCCTCCCAAAGTGCTGGGCTTACAGGCATAAGCCACCACTCATGGCCTCGAGCATCTATTTTTCAAAATCAGTCTCAGCACTGGGCTAGACAATGTACAGACATATAAAAATAAAATATGATCCCTACTCTCAAGTTTATAATCTAGTTAAGAAAGATAAGCCTAAAGTCTAAAATAGTAGGAAATAATACAAAACAGAATAAGCAAATCAACAAAAACCTAAATAGTCAAAGGGAGGCTTCATGGAGATGGATCTTAAACCAGAGCACATGGATAAGCATCCTCTCCCATTTCCTCCTATGACACAAAGGGAGCTGGTCTGCCTTACAAGACTGGCCTTGCATGTGCTTTGGATTCCCACTCTTCTTGCAATCTTATGAATCTTACTCTGTTATCCCTTCTGTCTTCTATATTTTCGATTTCTCCCTTTCTATAAGATCCTTCCTATTAAGATTAAAACATGTTCAAGTCTCTCCCAACTTAAACAAAAGCATCCTCCCAATCCCACTTACTCTCTTGGTCTATTTCTTTTTTCACAAACTTTGAGAGAATAATACGTCAATTGCCTCCATTTCCTTTTGCTCGCCATTCATTTGCTCCTCGACTTAACTCCAATATGACTGCCTACATCATTCCAATGAAATAACCTGTCCAAGTTACAAAAGAGCTCCATGTCACCCAAATCCAATGGGCATCTTTCAATATTCATTTTACTTGACTGACTGGTAGCATTTGGCTTACCAGACACATTTTCCTGGTTTTCCTTCTAGTCTTCTAACTGATCTTCTAAGTCTTTCTTCATTCATCTTTGCTCGACTTGTCCTTTTAATGGTAAAGTCCCCCAAAGCTCAGTGAGAGTTTTCTTACTTACATTTTCCTCTGAACGTATCATCTCTGTCTATGTTTTCTATTACCTGAAACTGGTGACTTCCAAATTTACCTCAAGCACTGATCTTTCTGAGCTTTAGACTTTTATATTCAACTATCTACCTGTTATTTCCACTTAGCTGTCTGCTATCCCCAAACCTGGTCCTTTTGCGGTGCACCCCAAGCGAGTGAATATCCAATTCCACATGCCAGAAATCTGGGTGTCATTCTTTTATCTAATTCATTGGTTACTTCTTTCTATCACCACTGCCAGCACTCAAAGTCCAAGCCATCATTATCTCTTGCTTGGACTACGGCAGTACCTTCTTAAGTGGTCTCCATGAATCTACTCTTGCTCTACTATAATCCATTTCTATATAGCAGCCAGGCCATTGTTTAAAAATGCAAACTATCAATGTTACTACCTGGCTTATAATCATTTTTAACATTGTCCATGAGTCCTGGATCAGGCCTCTGCTTTCCCTCTACCCTCATGCTAGAATATAGGCACACCTCAGTTTATTGTGCTTCATGTTACTGCACCTCACAGACATTGTGTTTTTTACAAATTGAAGGCCTGTGGAAACCCTGTATTAATCAAGGCTATTGGCACCATTTTTCCAACAGCATATGCTCACTTCATGTCTCTGTGTCAACACTTTGTAGCAATAAAGTATTTTTAAATTAAGATATGCACACTGTTTTAAGGTATAATGCTATTGCACATTTAACAGACTACAGTATAGTGTATTTTGTTTTTTTAATTTATTTTTATTTATTTATTTCTTTTACAGTATAGTGTAAATGTAACTTTCTATTCACTGGAAAACAAAAAATTGTGTGACTCACTTTATTGCAATATTTGCTTTATTGTGGTGGTCTGGAACCAAGCCTGTAACATCTCTAAGGTAGGCCTGTACTCTTCCCTTGCTTTCTACACTCTAGCCACACTGGCATTCTTTGAGTTCTTCAAATGCACTATACTCCTGTTCTATCTCAGACCCTTCCAGCACTTGCTATATTCCAAGTACTGTTCTAAGTGCTTTACATGTATTAACTCATTTAACTCTCACGAAAACAATAAGAAGGTATTATTATTTCTACTGTACAGATAGGCATACCAAGGCACAGAGAACTTGCCCAAGGTACATAGCTAGTGAGTTATAGAGCTAAGATTTGAACATGGGCAGGCTAGCTGCAGTGTCAGTGCTCCTGGCCGCTATACAGCTGTCCCTCTGTATATGCAGGGGATTGGTTCCAAGACCCTGTGCACATATAAAAATGTACATGCATAGTTCAGTCCTGCAGTCAGCCCTGCAGAATCCACACATATGAAAAGTCTACATGTGGATTTCTCATCCTGCAAATACTGTATTTTTGATCTGTGTTTGGTTGGACCCACACAGTTTAAACTACTATGGTTCAAGAATCAACTGTACTTTGCTACCTATGTTTCTTCTATCTAGAACTCTCTTCTTTCTTTTGCAGTTATTTCCTACTCAATCTCTCAGCTCAGCTCAAATGTTGTTACCTTAGGGAAGTCTTCCCAGAATAGATATACAGTCGGCCCTCCATATCTGTGGGATCTACATCTGCACATTCAACTAACTATGGGTCAAAAATATTAAAAATAAAAAAAAAAATACAAATTTGAAAAATACCGTATAACAACTATTTACATAACATTTGCATTGTATTAGGTATTATAAGCAATTCAAGATGATTTAAAGTATACAAGAAGACATACATAGGTTATAAGCAAATACTATGCCATTTAATCCAAGGGTCTTGAGCATCCATGGTTTGGTATCTGTGGGGGGTCCTGGAACCAATCCTTGGAGATACAGAGGGATAACTATAATAGAAGACCCTGTTTCATACTTTCATAGCACACTATAGCATATTATCCCAGTTTATAATGATATATTAATGATTATGTGTGATTATATATTTAGTGTTTGTCTCTCATGCTAGGCAACAAGTTCCACGAAGGCAGAAACTATGTCTGCTTTGCTCAGTACTGTATTCCAAAACAGTACCTGGCACATAATAGTGTTCAATAAATATTTATTGTTGAAACGAATAAACAAAAAATGATTAGGAAGAAGGGCATTTTTTGCAATAGGAATAAACATGAAAGCAAATAAGGGGCCAGAAGCAGTATATTTTATTCTTCAAATGATACCATGGACAGGTAAATTACTTATGTTCTCTACAGTGAACCCTAGGAGGAAAGGAGATAAAGAAGACCGAAGGAAGAAAAGAGATTAACTAAATAGCAGTTATCATTGAGGAGAAAGTCCAGACAGGGAGAGACTGGACATTTGAAAACACTAGATTTCCAGTGGAAAGAGTACTAGACATTGGAAGGCAAGAAAACTTGACCCTCCCAAGCCTGTATCAATCCAATTGCCTGCCTTCTCAGCTGCTCTACCAGGGCTACCAAACTGTTGCACAACCAGTCATATTGATACCACCATTTCATGCTCCTGGCCAGGTACCTCTTCCATTTTTGGTAACAATGATTTCAAGCCTTGTGTGATCTCGTTAATCCCTCTACCCTATTATCTGACTACTTACTCTTAGAAGATGACTTTGTCTCGTACTTCACTGGGAAGATAAAGGCCATCAGGCTAAAAATCCCTCAATTTCCCTTCTCCTGCCTCTAAAGTAGTGTCACTGTATTCTTTCTATCCTGACCTCTTTTATTCTAGTCTTGGGGGCAGGTATCTCCTCTATTGTCAAAAGCAAACCCCTCTTTATTTTTAACTTTTATTTTAGGTCCAGGGGTACATGTGCAGGTTTGTTATATAGGTAAATTTGTGTCATATAGGATTGGTATACAGATTATTTTGCCACCCAGGTACTAAGCATAGTGCCCAGTGTCTGATGTTTCCCTCTTTGTGTCTATGTGGTCTCATCATTTAGCTCCCACTTGTGAGAACATGAGGTATTCGGTATCCTGTGTTAACTTGCCAAGAATAATGGTCTCCAGCTCCATCCATGTTGCTGCAAAGGACATGATTTTGTTCTTTTTTGTAGCTGCATAGTATTCCATGCAAATCCCTCTTTGTTTGTATTTAGGATCTCAACTACTTAGAGACAGCCTTTTTTCAACTAATCCTTATTCTAAGGTTTGGTCTCTCCCAACTGGTTCTTCCATTTGTTTAAGTCTCTTCCATATTTTAAAAACATAGACCTATATCCCTTGACCCTTGACTACTTGGCTATTGCCTTTTCTCACCTTGTCTTCTTAAAAGAAGAACCTATCAGCTTCCTCTACTTCCTTATCTACATTTATCTATTTATCCTGCAGCATCCTGCTTTTATCATTCCCCTGCTCTTCTCACTGAAGTCACCAATAGCCACCTTGTTGATAAAAATCAGTGGATACTTTTCAATCTTTACCTCACTCTACACTTTTCTATAGATTTATACGTTTGACAACCCTCCCTGAAATGTTCTTCCCTGGGCTTCCACGACACCATTGGTTTTCTTTCTACCTGTCTACTCCTTATTAGTTTCTCTTGTTGTCTTCTCTTCTTTCTCTATTCCTTAAGTGCTCGTATTCCCTAGGATTCTGTCTTTGGCCTTTTTCTCTTCCTCATTTGCTTGGTCAGCAATTATTTAATGTGCTTTTAATGTGCCCGGTACTCTGATCTCATCCACTCTATAACTCCAGATATCATCTAAATACTGGTGACTCTCAAATCTATATCTTCAGCTGAGACCTCTCTACATTAAACCTGTAGAGCAAACTATGTTTAAACATTTCTATTTAGATGTCCCCTAAGCCCCTCAAACTCAAAATGCCCAAAACTGAACTCATCATTTCCATTTTCCTACCTGATCCCATTTTTCCTCCTATATTCTCTGGCTCAGCACTACCATTTACTCAGTTGTCCAAACAAGAAACTTAGAAACCAACCTTGACTCTCCGTACCCACCCTTCATTTCCTACATCAAATTTGTTACCATGTAAGCCCTATACATTCTACCTCCTTCTTGGTTTTTTTTTTTTCCTCTAATTTGTCCCCTTCTCTTCATTTCTACTGCTATTCTCTTTAGTTCAAGCCAGAGTTCTCACCTGGGTTATTGTAACAGCCTGACTTATTTTCCTCCTTCTAGCCACTGCCACCTCTAATCTATTTTCTCTATACTTGCTAGAATGATCTCCCTGAAACACACATTTCATCATATGAAATGTGTTTCACATATTTCACATATCACATTTCACCCTCCCTACTTAAAACTCTTCAATGGTTTTTCATAGCTTTCAGGTTAAATTCCAAATTCTTTAACAAGTCATATAAGGAACTTCAGGATTTGGCCCCTGTCTACACCTCTCATCTTATCTCTCAGTGTTCATTTCTTCTTTATCAGTGAACTCTCCAATGCTACCCCCAATCTTAAATGGACAGCAAACACGTTAATAGGAGTTATTTTCAGAGGTCCCCAAACTAGCATAATGCCTAACCAACATCTCTGAACTTCTGATAGACAAGAAACTGAGAAACAGAAACTCTATTATTCCACTCACATACTTGTAATTTTTCCCATCAAATTTTAAGTCCCTTATACCTGTTGCTTTAGATGATTAAGTTCAGCTGTCTGGGGATCAATATTAACAATAGGTTTGTTCTTGATTTTTCTTGCTCTGTCAGCATAGCGAAGGGTATTTAATGTTTCTTCTAGATTGGAATCAGCAGGACTCACACAGGCTATCATAAGAGTATGACTATTACCTCCCAGAGAATCTGAAAAAGAACAATAAAGAATAACGAAAGGAAATGAAATCAAACAAGTAGGATATAAGCAAAGCCGTCCATTCGGGTTGGTGACTTAAAATTCAGAGCTACAAGAAAAAGTTCTTAGTGTTTTTATATTGAAACAATATGATACGTATAGATATCTAAGATTTCTGATGTGATATAAATTTAAATCCTATTGCATGTGTCCACTTTCTCAAGAGACTGTGATTTCAGCAGTTAATCAGGTTAAAACAACTGGGGCCTGGCTTAAGTAAGTTAGGAGCCACTAGTGGAATTAAACATTCTTAGGATGCCCCCTCTAGGTGGATTTTAACTCTCCAGGGAGTTCCGTTTAGCAGCACTAATAATTAAAGAAACAGTAGCCAAATTCATTTTCAGGTATAAAATACAAAGTACAGTTGGTGCACTACAGATTTCTTGGCTCTCAAGGTCATATATGATGACATTTTTCCATTATCTTAGAAGCCTGCTTGCCAACAGCAGTCTCTTGTATTTAGCAATTAGACAACTGTGTATGTGATTGTCCAAATAGCTGGCTTTTTACCCATTTCATCTTTGCTTTCTCAGCACTATCATTATGAGTTACTCTCTTATTTTTAGAGGCACTTTGGGCTTACCTTGAAGCAGTCGAGTCAACTTGGAATCTCTGTAGGGCACAAATCCACCCTTTTTGTCGTCTCCAAGAGCACTGATTACATTTCCCAAGCATAGGAGGCCTCGGTTAATATTAATACCTAATAGCAGGAAATGAAATTTAAATTGCTTGGTAATGCATCCAACATATACCTACATTTCTTCTGAGAAAGAGAAAAGAAATAAAGACCCCATAAAAAAATTAAGTGATCAATCTTGAGAAAACTTTTATATATATATATATATATTTTTTTTTTTTTTAAATTTTTAATTTTTCTATAGGTTATTGGGGTACAAGTGGTGTTTGGTTACCTGAGTAAGTTCTTTAGTGGTAATTTGTGAGATTTTGCTGCAACCATCACCCAAGAAGTGTACACTGCACCCTTGTAGCCTTTTATCCCTCGCCCCACTCCCACCCTTTTTCCCAAGTCCCCAGAGTCCATTGTATCATTCTTATGCCTTTGCGTCCTCATAGCAGAGAAAACTTCTTAATCATGTTCACTTTTTGGAGTGCCTCTTTCAGTAAAGGACAAAGGTCCAAATGTTGGATATGTACGATTGAGTCCACTGGCACTTCTTGCCCTTTCCCATGGAAACAAAGCAGATAGATAAATAACTATCACCATGACAACCATCGGTATAGTTATTTACTTTTTATATCCATTATGATAATCTTTAAATTAATGCTGTGAAATTGGATGAACAGGTTTTTTTTTTTTTTAACCATATTATCATCATTATTTTTACTATCATTCTCATTTTATAAAGAAACAAGCTCGGAGGTTAAATGATCTGCCTAAGGTCAAACAGCTAGTAAGCGGTAAGCCTGAGATTCCATCTCAAGATTTCAGTCAAGTCCTATGTTCTTTTCATTATATCATACTGGAATACCTTTCCTACTGTAGCTTTAAAAAAGGTAAAGATTATTTTCTACTTTGTTTAATTCTGAGGTTTGCTTCTTAAACATTCTAATAACCTCTGAAGTCCTGCTAAAGCACCTAACTTCCCATTATTAGGCTTACTGTGGAAAAGCTATATAGTATAATGGTTAAGTGCATAGTTGGTGTCAAACAGACAGGTTACAATCCTGGCTCTGTCACTGAGTGGTGATATGATCTTGAGTTAAGTTCCTTTATAAAATGAGGCAAATCTAGCTACCTTATTAAGTTGTGATAGTGAATTAAATAAGATACTATCTATGAAGCAAGGTTAAATGATAAATAAATCATGCTATGGTTTGAATGTTTGCATCTCCTCCAAAATTCATGTTGAAACTTCGTCCCCAGTGCGATAATATTAGGAGGTAGGACCTTTAGGAGATGATTAGGCCATGAAATGTCTGCCCTCATGATGGGATTAGCGCCTGATAAGAGGGCTGGAGAGAATTAGCTAGTTGCCTTTGCACTTTGGCCCCCTTCTGCCATGTGTGGACACACCGTTTATCCCTTTTTCCCCATCTGTCATGTGAGGCTGCCAGGATGTCTGTCCTCACCAGGCATTGATTCTACTGGCACCATGATCCTGGATTTCTCAGCCTCCAGAACTGTGAGAAATAAATTTATATTGTTTCTAAATTACCCAGCCTAAGGTATTTTGTTATAGCAGTGCAAATGGACTAAGACAAATGGTATAATTATTGTTAGCTCTACTCTACCTTTTATACAGCCATCCTTTGGACTTCCTTATAACATGAAACAATTATATTTATGAGATGCCAAACTCCAAATTCCTGACTGTATTCTACTATCCTTCCATTTCTTTGGACCCTGTTCTTCACCTTTTTTTATTTTTTTGACTACTAATTTACTGATACTTTCTAATACTATCAGTAGATCAGCCTCTTCTGGGCCTTCAACTACTCTGAACCCTATGGTTGATAATTTCAGTTATGTTTTCCTAAGAACTCACTGGACATATGATCTACCATTCCCACCATGTCAATTCTCAACCATAGGTTAAACCAACTATGTGTCTGTATGTTTATTTGTAGGCTGCAATACTGAAGAAACAGCATAACCAAATAGATGAGATCCATTATAAACATGCTACCTAAACTTAGCTGAACCTGGGTCAATTGACAATCTTTTCTTCCTCATTCCTACTTCACTAACATTCTAATCTAACTAATCTAATTCACCATGGCAGCTATTATGCAGACTCATCATTTTCTTTTTTTTTTAAAGATTGAATCAATTAATTTTCTGAACTATTATACAATTTAAAGCCTTTCCAATTTAAAATTTCTTTAGTGTTTTGGTCTGAATTAAAAATTGTAGTTGGGGGGCCGGGCGCGGTGGCTCAAGCCTGTAATCCCAGCACTTTGGGAGGCCGAGGCAGGTGGATCGCGAGGTCAAGAGATCGAGACCATCCTGGTCAACATGGTGAAACCCCGTCTCTACTAAAAATACAAAAAATTAGCTGGGCATGGTGGTGCATGCCTGTAAT